TCTTCTTCTTCAAGAAGAAGTTGCCCCAAATGGGAATCTTATACCGTCTTCCAAAAATATGATGAAGAAATGCTGTTTTTAGATAAAATCAGTGTACAAAAACTCCATGAAACAGGTAATATCTAACTTTGCCCACTCAAATTCAATTTCATTGGTAAACACGTAGAAATTCTTTTTCATAATGGGTGACAGTGAGACTTGAACTGTAGCACTGAAGTGTGCAACAAACATCTAAACGTTACACTTTTAGAATTTATTAGTATATATGATTTTTTCAACATTATCTAAATTCTTCATTTTCTTTTCTTCAGAATCACTAAGATCCATTCAATCATGTCCAAGATCAATATCAGACAGGGTTGTTCATAAATTGGCGATGAAAAACAGGAAATCATCGGAGTTTCGACACAATCCATATCACGAATTGGAGGCTGCTTATGTAGCACAGGTACACAGGAAGCAAAAATACATACGTGACATTTTAACACATACTAAATTCTGAATCCATTATAACAAGAGTGGAGATAAATTAAGTATATATTGAGAAGGTACACATTAAATTCTATCAAATTTAAATCCTGAATATGCCGACATGAGTAGGTATGCTTAGCATGGGAAGCGCTGAGCTGGAATTACAAATACTTCAAAAGCCTAAGAGCTTCGCGTCTTGAAGAAGATCCAGGTTGTCCTGCTTATGTAGCTCAGCATTTTCAACAGTTTCAAGTGCTTTTACAAAGATACATTGAGAATGAGCCATATGAACATGGTAAGAGACCTGAGGTTTATGCTAGGATGAGAAGTTTAGCTCCAAAGTTGCTTCAAGTTCCTGAATATAGAGGTAATTTAGTTTATCCCTTTTTTGAGTTTAAAGTATTTTATGAATAATTTTTATAACGAACATGGATAGGTGTCCTACGAAACATGTACAACCTCTGTTTCAATGTGTTAGACTTAAATTTGATATTCCCTCTATTTCAATTTGTTCGTCTTCACATAATACTCCAATTTGTTCGTCTTCACATCATACTCCAATTTGTTCATCTTAACATTATACTCCCTCCATTTCAATTTGTTGATCTTACTTTTCTTGTTAGTTTGTTTGAGAAAGAATGTATCTTCCCTTTTCTTGACACTTTTTAATTCTAACTTTTCACATGACATTTAGGTACCATCTACGTATTTTTAGTTTAAGGTCACAAAATTCAAATGTCTTTCTTTATTTACTTAAATTCCGTGTGTCAACTATCAAGTAATGGTGAACTTTTCTTTAAAGTACTTATTATAGTGTATCATTTTCAGTTTGTTCGTCTTAACATTGATACTCCCTCCGTTTCAATTTGTTCGTCATACTTCCTTATTAGTCCATTTAAAAAAGAATGTGTTTTTTTTTTGACAACTCTTTAATTTCAATTTTTTTTCATGATATATTTAAGAACACAAGATGAAACGATATTTTAATACATTCTATGTATCATTAGTTTAAGATCACACGATTCAAATATCTCTTTTACTTTCTTTAACTCATTATCAAGTCAAAATCAGATAAATAAATTGAAACATATGTACCTGACTTGTTGAAGCAAGTAAAACTATACTAGTAATAGTGAACTTTTTTTTCTTGTAATATAATATAAGGTCTTTTTGTCTCCATCTCGAAATTATAAATAACAAAATTTTGACTAGATTCAGATGAGGAAAAAGGACAAGAAGAATTATGGTCGAGAATATCATCAGATTCATTTCTTGGGATTATCGAAGAAGCAATCAGAACATTTATGAAATTCCTCAAAGCAGACAAAGAGAATCCTTGTCAATTACTAATGACAGCTTTCTTTAGGAGAAACAAAAGAGCCTCTACTGACCCAACTCTTCTCCTCTTACTCAAGAAAGTCAACAAAAAGGCGCGTATCTATCTGTTTTATTTTCAAGATTATAAATACTCATCATATTTTAACGAGCGACTTATTTGATATATGCAGAAAAAGACTAGGGTGAAGGATATTGGTAGGTCAGGAAAATGCAGCTTGGGGAAAAGGAGATTAAAAGAAGAAGAAGAAATGGATATATTGATGGGATTAATAGATTTAAAAGTGGTATCAAGAGTATTAAGAATGAGTGAAGTGAATGATGAACAATTGCATTGGTGTGAAGACAAAATGAGCAAAGTCAGAGTTTCTGATGGCAAATTACATAGAGATGCTTCACCACTTTTTTTCCCAGCACACATTAGTTGAATGATTTTAAGTTTTTTTTTTATATATTGTTCGACTAAATAATTTTTTATACTATCAAATCAATATTTATAAGTAGATTTCCCTTATAATGTAGGATTTAAAATAAGATATATCACCTGCTATAAGCTGATAAAAATAACTTGATAGTGTAAAATTTATTTTACATTAACAATGTATATTTCAAACTCTAGCTATTTTAATACCCTCATAAACTTGTTGTTTTGTAAATAAGTACTTGGAAAAAAGAGAAATTAAGGGTGGGTGACCCATGCATAGTACAAATTAAAGTAAGTTCAAATATGCATGTGGCCTGTTGGGATGACAAAAGAATTTTATGAACAATTTTGATAATAGTGAATTATTGTCTCTATTTTAATTTGTTTGTCATACTTTTCTTTTTTAGTTTGTTTTAAAAAGACTATTTCTTTTCTTTTTTAAAATTTTCTAATTTTAACTTTTCACATAATATAAATATAATTGTAAGACTAAATGTTATTTTAATACTTTCTACGTATCACTGATTTTAGATTACAGACATTAAGCCATTTTTTTTAGATTTTAAATTTCACATCAAGTCAATCAAATTAAAACGAGAGAAAGTATATATAAGAAAATGGTTTAAAGGAAAAAGATGGATATGTGAGGATAGTGACAAGGGCAGCCTTACTTGAATTAAAAGGAAAATTTTAAGCTGAAGATTGTGCACTTGAATAAAAGTAAAAGGTAGCAGCTTAACACATGTCAGTCAAACAAAAAATTATCTTAATTTGTATCATCAATTTTATACGATCTATCAATCGACAAGTGATTTAAGATAACTTTTCTAATAAAATGAATAACTAATATAGAATAAAAATGAAAAATACTAGTCACTAGATTTTACTCTCCCGAGTGATTCATAAATTAAGAAAGTAAAAAAAGTATTTAATTTTGGACAGTTGGAGTAACCGTGTACAGTAATAATTAAACCCAAAATAGTTGGTGGTAGGTTAGAAGCTCACCTACCATGGCATCACCTTTTTCGATCGTTATTTAATCTCTTTTGTTCATTGCCACAATTTTGCAATTTTAATTCTGTGAGATCTGAATTCATTTAATTGTATGGTTGGTTGCATGGACGATTTTATAATTTTTGCTCCTAACAAGAAATATGATATGTGTCAAAGTATCAAAATGTGTCTGAATCTCTAAGTAAAAAGCTAGCTCATTAACCGTAGTTCTCTCAAAATAAATAACAACCATAAAAATGGAGCTAGTTAAGATTTTAAATTTCTATGTTCTAGATTGCTAAAAAGTTATTAACTTTGTGTTATTATTTATATACGTTAAGTAAAATTTTTAACACAATTATTGAATTCGAGCCAATGTGGAGCATTTCAGCAGGGCCGTCTCAACCCCTAAGCCACTAAAATCATCGCTTGACCCCTATATTTTTAGGGGCCCCCATTTAAAAATAAATAAATTATATAGTATGAGTACAATGATTTCTACTATGGAAATTGCTTATGAGATGTATATAGAACCTGAATTTCGTAAAAAATAATTTGATGTATTGATAACGAAATCACAGTCCCTTGAAATTAGAGTTGATTACTTTATGCTATTTTTTTTTACTTCAAAATAGATTTGAACCAATTAAAGCATATGAAAATATTTTTGGTTTCTTATTTAGTGGTAAATTGTGATGACTAGATGACGCAATTTTTTTAAAAAATATTGTCTTCACCTTAAACTTTCTTTAACACATAATAGTTATTCTGAAATTGATAGTTTAGATTTATTTTTTTAATTAAAAGTGTTAAGAGAAATAATATAAGTGAAAGATAATGATCTAATGAAAATACTCAATCAAATAAAAAGAATTGATTCTTTTCCAAATACATATATTACTTATAAAATAATGTTAGCAGTTTCGGTAAACATTGACTCAGCCGAAAGAACTTTTTTGAAACTAAAATTGATTAATTTTATTTAAGATTAACAATGTCTCAAGAGAAATTGAATGGATTAGCTATATTATCAATTGAAAAGGAATTATTAAAACAAATCAATTATGAAACAGTAACTAATGACTTTGTATCTAAAAACATTAGAAAAGTATATTTTAAATAAAAGTATATATGATGAAAAAATAAAATATTAAAACCCCTCTGTTAAGTTTCGCTTTAGGCCCCAATCCTATTGAGTCGACCTTGAGCATTTGTTATTAATTTCAAAGTTTACTGGTAAGTTTAGACTAATTTCAACAAACTTGGTCAAAATATAATCTTGATTTAGATTTTTGTGGAATTTAAAATCAAAATTTCTGCATGCTTCAATTTAATATTAAATTATTTGACCATTTCATCTTCAGAATTATAGCTATGGAACAATTCATTTATTCTATGATGATTACTATATAATCCTGATTTAGACCTTCGGACGGACAGTCAACAACTTGGTCAAATTCACTGTACCTTTTGTTTTTATGTGTTTGTTTTTTTAAGTTTATATTTTTATATTGAGTTATAAATGTAAATGTTTGACTATATGGAGTTTATTTGAGATCGAGTTTATTTAACTAAATTATTACAGTACTTCTATAGTTCTATTTATGTAAAAGTTTCCTCTGTATATTTATTTATCAAAAATAATTTACTGATTTTCATGATGTAAAGTTGAGAGCGACATTTCTCTAATTGAACTAGAAAGTTTTGTTGCAAATAGTATTTTTGATTGAGACATATAATAAGCGATTTAAATTTAATCGGACGGACGGACGAGTTTGAGATTTTTATCTCTTTATTACTCATGTTCACTACTGAACTAGTACTGGTATATGTACCTCTCTTTCTTCGTCATCCTCTTTGTTCCCCTAAAATCTCTCCCCTCCATTTTCGCCCTTTCACAGGCGCCATCAGTTCCTCACCCACACAGGTAAAATACCCTTTTTTCCATTTACGTTTTTCTCTTTCTTATCCAATTACTCCTTCTATTTCCCCCATCATCTTTATTTTTAGTAATATCAATATATATA